CGAATTCAACAAGAATAAGAATTACATAGCAGTCTCTAAAGAAATTGTCCTCCTAGAATTTACAAAAAATCAATCCAGCCGGAATAATAATACTCAGTCATTCCAACTAACGGATCTGTACCGTTGACGAATGCTAACCATGTAAACCCTGGTTTTATTTCTCTTACAGACCCAATTCATGTGGCATCATAGTTTCAAGTCCGTCCTACACTTAAATAACAATTTAAAAGAGACTGCTTATTTCTGTTGCATTAACTCTCAATGTATTTGAAATGCTTAACGCTATTTAAAAAGCAGCAGTATGAGTGCAATTAAGCTCCCTAGTCTAGATAGAGTGATTTAAATCAAATTATACGAAACGACATTTTACATCAATTGTTGTGTACCACAGGAACTATGGACACCTAGGTCAGATAGAATTTGCAGAATTAAATGTAGTTTGCACTGTTTGGGTAGTTCAAGCACAAATGCGTACTACGACAATGTCTTGGAGAAATATTGATTAGTTATTTATATCAAATGGCAGGCGTTTTGATAGTTATCATTAGGCCTGGAGCTGACTTCGGGGCTTCACATCAAAGTGTCAAAAAGTCGAGAGGGGGAACAGAAGAGTGATTCACAGATGTAAGAGAGAGACAAAAGCATAAAAAAGGTAAGATGAGTACTATGAAAGGGTTCGAATATGACAAATAGTCGGACCATATTAGTTTGAAGTCAGAAGGCAACTGCCGATCAATAGACTTTTTTGCCGTATAAGTATACGTCGCCCAGGGTGCACCACGTGGAGGTAAGTCTACCGCACACGCCCAGGGTGCACAACATACTTATTGATTGATTATTGCTCAAATAAATTGTTACACTATTAGCCTCACAAAATATTCAATAAAACTAGGCCTAAGTAAAAATATGGAATTAATGTAAAGTCAGTTTCGTGTATTTTCATAGAAATATCCATTTTACGAATTATTAACAATAAATCGTTGACACAATTTTCCATGAATAAAACTTATGCATTTTACCCGAGACATTTATTCATTTTTTTATTGGAGTAACATTCAAGCGCAAAGGAGTGGTATTTCATAGAGGAGATATTTAGACAGTAGAAATTAAAAATTTACCACTTCTTTTACGTTATTATTGGCGACATCATGATACTAATATAAGCAATAAGATACTACGTAACAAGGTAGCTTAAATTAAATAACGACTATAATTGAAACTAACTCTCTATATGCACGACCGGTACTTTATTGCGCAAATATTTTGACTATTAAAGGAGAAAAATGTTAAGATTTACCCTATTTGAGTGAAAACGGGTTTGTCTGGAGTACCGGTGATGCGTAAAGCGAAAATGCTATTACCCGAAGCCACAACCACAAGATCTCCCCTGGAAGTCAGAGAAGAGAGACTCATTCCAGTTGGCGATTTCCATGTAGCCAAGCAGCCCTTGCCATAAAGCCCTTGGATGCCGATAAGCCATATGGTATCATTTGTGGCTTGCAGAAGGAGAGGTCTAGGGAATTTCTTGTGGCCTTGAGAATACACTGCAGCACAATAAAGTGTTCGATCATCCCTCACAAAACCCTCTAACTTCAATGGTGCCAAATCATCTCCTATAACGCGTATGATCCTAAAAAAATAAAAGGAACAATTTGAAAATCTTATGCAACGAGCACAGCTAATTTAATATCAATCGATGGCACTTTAACGATGAAGAGAAGTAAAACACCTATAGTTAAGGCAAAATAGAAAAGACAACTCCCAAACCTTGCATTTTGATGACTTTAAATGTGCTTTAACACAGAGGAGTAGAGCGATGAAGCAGTGCAACTGAAAGCTCAATAATCATCAGAAGTAATTATTGGGCTACTCATTCCACTCACTGCGGGGAATTGGTATTGAACGCATTACATTCAACGTCGAAGATGAGAAACTTAACTGAATTACAGCAGAGATGTTACCAGAGAGTACTCACTTTTTCACAGCAAAAGAAAAGTAAATGTCACAAACCCAAAAGACCGTTGAAACAAGTAGGATGTTTTAATGTTTAGAACACCACAATGTTCTAGTGTTACGTTGCGCTTCAGTGCATACAATATAAGTATAAATCTCCCGGTAATGCATTCGCCATAATTATATAATTACTAGGCTTCTAAGGGTGAATGGAATTACCTGCTCCTCCTTTTCATTGAACAAATCATAGCATCATCATAAACTTCTGAATTGCAAGGGATACACCAGACGCCTAAAAATACAAAATAGAAATAGAAACAAAGTTCAAAATAAACAAATACCATTAACATGGGTGTACCATTCATATGCTCTTGAGCAATAGTAGCAATCTCTTGAATTCCAATGCCATTTCGAATGATTCGAAGAGAGCCGTCTCTAGAGTAACCAGAACAGGTGATGAGCTGATTTTGGCCCTCATTTTCAACGAAGATCATATCGGCGATTGGACCGAGATTCGGATATTCTTCACAGACATCGAAGTAACACTTTGTATCAGGATCCATATCAGAATGAAGGTGGATTAACTGCGAGTCACCAAAGTACGAGCCAATAAAGACTACTCCATTATCCAGATAAACAATTGACTCGGGAACTGAGGTTATACCTGAAAAAGATTGATAAAGAGACATAAAAATATACGAATAACATTAAATTTATTTACCGAGACGTTCTATGCGCAGACGCTCTAAAAATGTTGACAACGGAGCCGAAGGATCAACTTCAGCCCCTACAAGATGAACCATGAATAGTTCTCCACAAAGATTGCCCATGAGATATCTCTTATTATCAACCTGAGCGTATGCAACTACTTTGGATAGCTAAAATGTGAGTGGAAGCAAAAAAAGGAAAGAGATGAGCAAAGGAAAAAATTAGAGTTATGTTGCAAACACGTGTAACACCAACCGTCTTTTGAGGAATGCATGTAGTTATGTGAGGTTTGTTGGGAGAATGGTAGGAAATCATTTCATCACCAACAACCAGGAAACCGTAAAAAGGAGCCGCAACAGGGACGAGCATTCGTGAAGTAGTTTCGATGGCACTAAAATTCGCAGGCAGTGGAACCAAAACGTGATCCTTTGGATTGAACTCATACATCCTTAAATGAGCAGCCCCTTGATCTTCGCAGATCATCGCAAATGTTGGATATCCGTATCCAATTATAAAGGTTAAATCAATTACGTTTCCCTCGTCCAACCTAATCTCATTTATGCATGAATAAATAATAACATACTTTACAGCATGAATTTTGGATTCATCGATCTTAACTCCTGGAAGAAAGGGAATATGATCTATCTCGATAATTTTCATCAAATTATGGAACAATCGAATAGCAATAAAGGTTGAGGTTGGATCCACCAGTGCAGTAACGCCATGATGCAGCAAGTGATGACCCCTGGACTAAAATTAAATAAATGAAAATGAAATTTAACGACATACGTCAATACTTTTACGAAAAACTGTCACAAAATCGATGGAATCTTTTGAAGGAACGCATTCCAATATGATCAGGTCAGCCCTCAAAGTAACAATGCACAACGAATCATATTTTCGATTTCTTCGGCGAAAAAGCAAAGCAGTCAAAATTGTACCATTTAAGGGTATATCCCGAACTACCCGTAAGCCTTCGCTAGTAATATCGTATATTTCAATGTACGAATTCTTGATGAGAATAAGATTTAAACCATCCGGGCTTGTGAAGTTACCTGTAAACGAGTTCAACAAATTACATTGCATCGATGGAAAAACAGGCAATATATTTAATACGACCATTTATTAAAGATTACCCGTAAGAGCTATATTAACCGCCGTTGATCGCTGTGCTGATGTATGGTAATACTGAGACATGTTTGGCGAATGCAAAACAGAGCTTCCCGCCAATTATACGATATTAGTTGAATACAGAATTAAGGTCAATTTCAGTAAAGCAAATTCACCCGGTAGGCATAAAAATATATCTTTGCAAGTATGTATTTAATTTATATGCATAATCAAAATACGCAATCAAAGGAATATAAAAGTGAATATTAATAGAAAGTCATCTAAAACAATTAAATTAAGTTTAATACATCCGCAAAACGATTTTTAACAATTTAAAATAGATATCAATCTCTATTCTTTGCTATTATTAATAGTGATCATTGTTGAATTTTCGTAATAACCAAAAGATCAAATTTTTAAGGTCTCTGAAGCCGATTAACTTCTTAATCAAATGTAAGCCCATATTTCATTTCATGAATTAAATAAAAGAGGATATTGACGTTCAATTATCATATTATTTACAAAATTTATTAAGAATTGTATCAGAAATTTCCTAGTGAGTTCGTTATTAAATAGATTCTCAAAGGCTCTTATCAACTCTTAGCGAAAATCGTTTTCGGATTTTGAACTGCACTCTGGTTGCAATAAGCAAACGCATAGAACGAAGTTCTTGTTAAGATTCATTAGAATTAAGGGCAGAAATGATAAAGGTCAGAGAAAGAAGGAACTCGAGTTTCATTTTCTTCGGAATCATTCGGTCAACTACAATTGTTATGATATAACCAATCCAAATTATAATTTATATCATAAAGCATGCAATAATTAAAATTTCGACAGATCTAATTATTTCAGTTTTGTCAGCACTGCATTTACATTTATCCTTGTCGATTAATGGCATTCTATGTTGTGATAAGAACTGGCTTCATGGCCATCCGACCTCAAAAGAGAATGTTTGCAGGTGCTCACGATTGCTTCTGTTCAGGAATAAAATTTTACAGTCATTCGATACATTATTGCTAGTTTTATTTGAAAGTGCATCTGCACTCATAACCTAACGAGCTTTCTTGTATACTTTTCCCAATTAAATACAGTTTTTTTACCCACACAAGCCCCCAACCCCCTTATCTCTTATCTGCCTTTTATCTATCTCCACCTCTCAAATCACCACAGTAGTCAATTAAATGCACTCTAATAAACGTAAATCTATCTTACCAATTAAATGCAAATATTGTTTGGTTCCTTCTGCCTTTAGAATTTGGGTATATACGACCAAATTATCAGAATTCGACTTCGATTACTTTAGCCAGAACAGATTAGCTGGTAAAAGTTTACGAGGAGAAGATAGAAAGGAAAGGTGTTAGAATGGTTTAAGTTTAAATTCTAATCCATGTCATTGATAGACGATTGAAAAAGATTGATAAGTTGTAAATTGATGGGGGGGGGATGGAGGTATGTGAGCACGTGTAATTTAAAGTAACAAAAAGAGTTTTAGCAGTGGTTGATAGTCAACTTAGCTTTTGTACAGGTTGCAAAAATTGAAAAATGGGATTATTATCCCAAGAGAAATATCTGAAAAATATAGATTGTTAATTGTTCATAAAATAATTGAAGATGTTTTAACTAAGGTATAATACACATTGACCTCAGTGACATCGTCAGCCAAATTCACTTGGTTTTACTTTACCTTACCCGCTATTAAAAGTAAGAATTTGGGTAGCATTTTCACATAAGAAAGTCATTTTTTCAATTTTTATTTAGATCCGAACCCAAAAATATTCATCATTAAATCAAATCTAAACACACAAAATCAATATCCAAACCATTATTAGGTTTCAATTATTGCTCTTCATAATTAACTTATGAGATTGGAAAATGACTTAGGTTGAAAGGCCACTTAAATTGATTATTAATGAGTTAACTTTAAACGAGAAGCAATGGCAAATATCATATGATAAAATACTGTTAAAATAAAATAATATCAGTTAAATCTTTGAATATGCATTTCAAAAATCTGTAAAGATGTGTAGTTTGTATGAATAAATGCTTAATTCCAATTGGTGCGTTTTTATGAAAATAACCGTTCAGGATTAAAGTCTATAAATTATCATTAAAGCGTATTGATGCATTAAGGTAAAGTTACCAGATTACACTGAAAAATTCTCATTATTTTTGTGGAAACTAGTTGCTTTATGTACCGGCCTCATTTTACATTTTATTTTTTTCTATTTGGAAACTAATTAAATTTATGTATTAATTTTTTCTCGTTTATTTAATCTGTCGTTTTTATTTTCTTATTTATATTTTAAAAATTCATGTTATTTTTTAGGAGTTGTCTGGGTTTATAGTAATGTCCAATACACCAATTCCATCGGAAATTTATGATACCAATCAAGAACAGCTGCATAATTCTGGCCCAACTCCATCCGTTCAATCAAGTACTGATCTTATTATTGATTTTAATATTCGTTGTCTTCTTTTTCTTTAAATGTTTATTTGTTTTTTTGAATATTTCTCTTTTCTAACTAAGCATCTTTTCGTTGTAGTGCTGCTGTCCTGTCTTTATCACTCATTACATGCTTGTTATTCATTTAATCTATTTAAGGAAACCTCATATTTTTATAAACTATTTGTCAATCAAGGTCATTTTTTGTTTCCTGTCAATTGATGCTGTAGCCTTATTAGGTATAACTTCTCAAGTTTGTACTTTGAGTGCAAATTATTAAGATGTCCTTATTTTACTTGAAGTTTTTTACTTTTAATATATTCCTCTTAAAACTTTTTTATCTCCTTTCAGCCATTAATGATGATCGGATGTCAGGGAGCAGCAAAATCCGTCGAATTGAACTGCTCAATTCTCCCTCAACTAATTCACCGAAAGAAGTTAAAAACGGTGACGGGGTTATCTCACTGGAAAATCAGCTTGTTAGTGGTGAAGGCTTCCCTAGTGCGTCCAAATCTCCACTAGGAGATTCAGGAAGTCAAGATGCCGCCCCACAAAAATTGTACTGGAATTCCGTCAATTCAACTACCGTCAGCGGTCTTGAGTAAGTTATTGTATAACCTCCTCTTCTTTTAATGTTCCGCAATTTGTGCGGAGGTGGTTTGGGCGCGCTAGTTTACGCGGGTGCGTGCGTATCATCCAGGTTGCACTTCACACCTTGCGTTGCTTTCTTCTTTCTTCTGCTTACTCTGTGTGTGCGGGTGTGCTTACCGTTATGCCAATCAAATTGTATCCTGAATGGCGGTTTGCGAAACGTCTGATTCTTTATCACTCGGGGATTGGTGTGTGCATGGCTCAGCCAATTACCATCCACTCTGTGCGATGGTGGTGGTAATGCGGTATCTGTTATTGTGGCTGAGTGACATATTATTAGTTTTTTTTGTGATATGTTGTCAGTACCTGTGTCACTGCAGCCAATTTCCTGCTGCAAAAATCATGCTATCCTTTAAAACTGCTGTTGATCCCATTGCTGATATGCCGTTTCCTCTTAATCTTGGAGGGTAAGGGTGTTTTTTTTCAAATTTTATAAATAACTTTAATATTATGCTCAATGTTGTTACCCATGGTCGACTGGTTTTATACATTTCCACAGAGTTAGAGGCTACAATATCCTTGTCTATTGAAATTACCAGAACGGGTGGTGAAATTCGAATTTTTTTTAATTACTACAGAGACAATGACAACTTCCCTTTACTAGTGATCGACTTTGGAAAAAATCCCTTTAGCAAGTTTGTTGATAACTATAAGTTCCACGCCCTTATAGCATTGTTATAAAGTGAATATTCGGAAATGCCTTTTATTCATTGTCCTTAATCGTTGTTGTTATTACTTTATTCCAAGGAATAAAGTGTTTTCCAATTTCTAATCATGTGATAACATTGATAACAGCTGTATGGGTGTTGAAAGCAAAAAAGGGAAGAAGTCGGAATCAGAGAACTCAATTTCTTTCAAACCGCGGGCTCTTCATGCTTCCTGTTTTCCTCCATTATCATCTCATATTACATCAATTTTTGCATGGTAAAGGTTTAGTTTTTAAATATGATTTATGATTTTTTTTGCTAATTTCATTTTTACAAATTCTATCGGTTGAGAGGATCCCCTGTGCCTGGTGCATATTGGAGTTTCTCCTGCTGGAGTCCGTCTTTTCCCTTTCTCATTTGCGCGTTTCCTTTTTTACGCCCTTTATCCTCACTCTGATCAATAAATGGTCATTTATATTTGATATACTTGACTTATTATAGAATGGTTCAACATCTAATGCTTATATGTGTGTTTTAACTTTTCCAAGGTCTTTAGTCGAGTGGACTTTGCTATAATATTCATTCTAGAAATATTTTTATCTTATTGCCCAGTCGGAACATTTCGGTATATTGGTATACTGTCACTTGTCTCACGAGTTGAAACATATGGATGAAAACGTCTAATTTATGCTTCAAATACCGTGTCACAAGTTTTCGCCGTTTATTCAGTATCACTTCAACCATCTGCCTCAAGGACTTCAGAAACTCAATGGAAAGCAAGTATTTCTGTGCTAAACAACCTTGCTAGTCTCTGTATGTGTATTCGTCCTCTCATGGTGGGGGGGGGGGGGGGGGGAGTGTTGTTTCACAAATCGTCTGAGTCTTCATCAAGCCTCAATGCTCATCCTTTACTAGCAGCACTCAAGCTCTTCTTCTTTCAAATCGTTACAGATTTCACAAACTTCATTTTAATATTAGTAATGTGCTAACAAAATTGGAGACTCTTCACGATTCTCATTAGAGATCTTTTAGCTCTTAAGTAATTCACAAATCCATTGCGCACTGCTCCTCCTACTACTCCATTTCTTTTTTAGTACTCCAATCAATCCTCAAAGTGGTATCGTTAAGGCAGAGAGTTGGATAGCTCCAACTTCTGGTTCCTCTACAGCCGGTTCCTCCTCTGTGAATCCCGCATCGAACGGTCCGCCAGCACTGCGACCGTACATGTCCTCAGCGGCAGGAACGCCGAATTCTGGAAGTCATCATGCAACTTACACCCCGTGTTCTTCAAACTCCTCTGGAATGTATGAGGGTGCCACTCTGCCTCTGCCGAAAAGAGATATGCTTCCCCTCGCTTCTTCAACCTCTAATGATAATGGAGGCGCTTATCTCGCTCCCACTTCTGGGCCTGAAGTAAGTACTGCTCTCAAATAGTTAATCTCGATCAAATATGACTAGTACATGTTTCCCTAACCTGACACCACGTTTCGCTCTCCACAAAGCCGTTAAAATGAAGTGGTAAAAAATAATTGGTGCCTCTCTAAATCGGAAAATCACTTTTTTCCCATAATATTATTGTTTGCCATTTCAATCCGCTCCTTTATGTTACTCACTGTTCGTTTTTTTTTCACCTTGAGAACACGTGCAATTTTACGTAGTCGTGATGATGTGCAAATTTCAATTGCGCATTAGTAAAAAGGTACACAACAAGGTATTAATTATTCCCGCCTATGAGGAAAGCATAATTTTGTCATTCGCGATTTGTGTTGTGCCTCAAACACCATACGTTTTACAAGATCTGAAGTATTTATAATTGGCCAATGTAACCTGTTATACCCGTAGTAATGAGGTCTATGCTAACGTACTTTTTGTGGCTCTAAATCAATACAAACTGATGCTTTAAGAAGGGAGTATTTTCATACCGCATATTTCTCTTTGTCTTTTTGAGCTTTGAGAAGCGCGTTCATTTACTCTGGTGAGTACAGAGTACTGCACCAACTTCTGGATACGTGGCCCTTCTCTTCAAGGCGGGAAAAGTTTCCCTATTATTATTATTATTGTTAACGTTAGCGTAATGTCCTAGAAATTAAAATGCTCTTAAATTTATAACTCATATAATGGCTACTTTTGAAATTTTATTACCGTAAGGGAGGGGGGGGGGAATTAAGAAGCTTAGGGGCACGCAGGAGGATCAAAAAGTAACTCCGCAAGAAGTGTTAGCAAATGTTCGAATAATCAAGAACGTGTGAAGTTATCTCTTCATTTTATGAACTAATAACTAATGCTATTTTTTGTCATCTCATGCCTTCTCTTTTTGTTGGCTGACTGATAGTTCTCTCTCATACTAATCACAATTAGCATTTTTCGAGAAAACTTACGCGTACTCTTAAGCCAGAGCTTCTTGTTTCATTTTTATTGACTAGAAGCCAATGTAGCTGAATGAAGTTCGTTCTTGCATACAAGCATTCCTTTCGTCACTTTCAACTGAGAAACTTCTCCATAACGTTAATGACGATTTTGTTTGTGGGATTTTTAGTATGCCTATACACAGCCAAACACCTCCGATTCAAGCATCGATTCCCAAGCTGTACCTATGTGGTCTGGCCAAGCGGCTTCCTCTTCTCGATCTCAAGCTGCTGAATACTACTCTTCCTCTCAGAACTCAATGAAAGGTGGTGGTGGTGGGGGTGGTAGCAGTAGTGTACGCTTTGATAATCGGATGAATACTTCAGGATATCCCCTACCTCAGGAAAATCTCCCCCCTGTAGAAGAAAATAAAGACGAGCTGATTGAAGAAGTCCTTGAGCTCGAAGGCTATTCTGATGGGGAAGATGAAGCGCTGGACTATGTTGACTTTGGCAATAACATTAAAGCTCCCACTGTCAGCAGCTCTTTTGAGGGCATCAATTTCCTCCAACTCTTCGCCGCTTCCAATGATCATTCGGAGAAGATCATTGATTTAGCGAGGCAATTCTATTGCGTAAATTTTAGTTCATTCAAGCTCTCTTTTTAGTGAAGAGTAATTGCCTATGTAACCATGTACCTATTTGCCTCTTTTTTTAATTAGAAATTCGTAGAACTTCTTGAGGAAGGTGGACGAGTAGGTGGTGGACAACCTGGTAATGGTTATTCGGGCTCCAATCTGGACAATATGGACAGCGTATTGGGTATACTCACGAGTATGCTCGAGGAGTGTCTTTTCCATATGGTGGATTGGGTCAATCGAACAGAAATCTTCCGCATTATTCGGGTAAGTGCCTGCGTTGTGTGTGTATGAAGGTGTGTATGTGATGCACTTCCTTTATGGGGGGAAATAAAATTTCCTCTCTCTCTCCCTCTCTCCCTCTCCCTCTCCCTCTCTCTACGGGCGGTATGACCACTAAATCTCTCCTCCTTCTTTCCTCCTACGCCTGTGCAGTTCTTAACCATAAAACAACAACCACATGCCATCAACTCCTTAATGTATGCACATTCTAGAAGTTTGAGTTATTTCGTGTTCCTGGCTGGTTCCCTGTACTCTCTCTCTCTCCCTCTGTGTATTTGAATGGGCCTGGGCGTGGTTTCCTCGAAAGTACTGAAAAGAGAGTGAGAGTGCAGTCCCAATCCTACGGCGTTTTTATTGCCCTATTTCACCTCACAATAAGTGAATTAGAAGACAGCCAATGAAAAGGAGCTAATAAAGAGAGCAGTTAAGTCCTCCACTCTACATCTCTGCTCTTAGTTGGCCTTGTGAGGGGTCTACACGAGCTCGTCTTCGCTCTTCATCTCACTTTTCGAGACGTTTCTCGAGGAATATACACCCACCCACACATACACACTTTGAAACTGGAGTAATGCGCGGGAGAGAAGGTGTGAACGCGTGCTTGATAATCGGGTTTAAAATTGAAACGTGGAGGAAGTGGTAGAACATAGTATATTCTCGCGGGCAGCACGACAAAGACTAATATATACACACACACACACACACACACACAAAGCCATATGCGTTGTTTTCAATTTTACACCAGGTTTCTCCCCTCTTTCTCTCCCTCATTCTCCCACTCCCTCACTTCGTTAGAGTAACGAGATGTGCTGCCTTTCATTCACTCGTTCTCATCTGCTGTATTGATCTAGTTGGGTAAATAAACAGTCTACTGCAAAATTTGCCTAATTTGATCATAAGAGAGTAACATTCTGGAACCTTCAAACTGGAGAGCTCACATTTCCCTTCCCCTTTCACTTGTTTTTAAGCCAATAACTTATTGACCATTAATCTCCCAGAGCTGTGAATTTGTGTCATCGTCTTTCGTAACCATTTTTTGTGTGGATCGTTGAAATTATCCATTAGAACTTTCTATAACATTGGTGGTAGGGTATGTCGCTGGTTTGCTCTTGAGGAATTGTGCTTGCTATCTCAATCCCATTCCTATTTTATAAAACCTGGTACAAGCTTAGTTTTTCTGCTCTTATCCACTTTAGCATCCATATTCATTTTGCAAACTCTTTAAACAATTAACTTGGTCGGATTTTTGTAACCATGGCGTATAAAGCCGTACTAATCTTTTAAATGCTCACATAATTACACAGCCTTTCCCAATTACGAAGATCAAGAATTGAATTGGACAATGTGTAGTAGCACATTCGTATCTGAATTAGAAGGTGGGAGGAGATATTGAGAACTGCTGAAACTGAAACGCGTTAGTAATGGGCGAGCGGGATTGAAGATATTGATTGAGTTTAAAGTTGTGTGAACTTTGAGTTTTACCAGCTAAGCGCTCTTTGGAAATGCGGATGAGAGTGGCGTAACCTCTCATACTTTGCTCGGGTTAAGACGTCAGCCTTCTTTTGGTATCAAACGAATGTGACGATGAAACGTCAAGGGAGAATTCCTAATTTTCGTTCATAAAATTAGTCCAATTTAATCGCTGCCACATGGTTGACCAGTCCCTCGAATGTACTTATGTCTTTGAATAGCCGTAAGGTAAACAGGGTGAAAACTGAAACTCAATGTTAGGAGTTGTCTCTGCGCTCCTCAACTAATTAGTCTTTCATACGTCTAAATACTCATTGTAATATTAACATTAACTGAACTCTGCTGATCAAATGGTCAAATTCTGAGGCACCACATATAAGGAAGTGTCTAGACTTCGCATTCCTTGCTCGGTGGTGAATAAAATGCACACAAGCACACTTGGCTATTATGGTGCTCAGGCGTATGATTCATTGTGTGCAAATTGAGTTTTTTTGGAACTAAGCGGGCAATATTCCTCGTTGATATTTGACTGCTGCACTTTTCTGTGCACTTTGTTCTGTGATGGTGTTGTCCTTATTTTGAGATTCATCATTTTGCCTGTTGAATATCTCCATTTTATGAAATATAGATTTGAGAATGCCAACTCCAAGTTATATATATATATATATATATATATATATATATATATATACATATATCGCAGTTTAAAATTCGAAGAGATCCCTACTTACTACTGCTAACTTTTCTGCTAGCTATGTCCCACCCATCCTCTCTGCTCTGTTTCATTTGCAATTCAAATTGTGTGTACACGCGTGTATTTTGCTTTGTGAGAATTGTTGAAAAGCCGTCATTCACTATTCTACTTCCTTCTTTCTCCCCTCCCTTACAGGTTGAGGACAAAATGCAACTCCTGAATAGCAGTTGGAGTGAGGTGATTATTATTGAGCTCCTCCAGTGTCTAATAATTAATCTTCAGGAGAAAACAAGGGTGAATTTCCTTTGAGGTTTTATATGTATATACTGATTGCCTTAAATTCATGCATTAATCGCTTTTGTTGTGTTTTTTTGTGAAGATTGGAACAGTTATTCCGACAGAACCCTCAAATATGGAGTTGTATCACCTCGTGATTACCCTAATGAGCTACCTCCTGCCTGGCGATGACAATCAACGAATGATGGGCCTAGTAAAGCGTTTTCTCGAACTCAGTCCCTCTAGTCATGAGTTCACTTGTCTCAAATTTCTTGCTATCTTCAATTGCCTCAAACACGGTGAGTCACTGTTCCCTTTGCGATTCGATGTAATTGTCTATGTGTTAATGTTTTTGTGCGTCTAACTGTTTTTTCCTCTACTTTTTATTCTGTGTGGTCGAAAGAGGTTGATCGTCGGGGTAAAGGGGGTAGGAGAGGGGGAGGGGGTGAGGGTTTATGTGTTTGATAAAATATATGACGTCTTTAACTTTATATGCGTCATTGTATGTTCCAGTTATCTTCCATAATATTTCATAACATATGCAGTTAGATTAATGATGACTGACTCTTTAATGCGTTTGCCTGTTCTCTAATTTATAATTTTGCAGCTCGGGTAGACATCGATTTCGTATAGAATCGATTTTTTTTAATTGTTTTATCTCGTGAGTCGAGCTCATGCTTTTACTGTTGTACGCAACATTTTAATCATTACCAGGTTATGATTTCTTTGGTTGCGTTCTTTTGGGTCTATTTAAACGAAGGCTCGTATCTAAGACTCTCTCTCCCTCTCTGAACAGGAGAATTGTGGTGGATGAATCTATTTCAAAAGCAAAGGAGTGTATTTATTGGCATCGCTTTAATCTCCCTCCCCTATTTCATGCTTCTCTGAATTCTCTGAAGTAAGTTGAAAATATTGGGTGGCAATGCTGCGAGTTTTTCGTTTGGGTTGAAATTTTATTACCCACGAACGAGCATCTGAACGCCGGAAATAGTTAAATAGCTTAGTACAAAATAGCGAAATTAGGGGAAAGCGTTTCTTTCTGGTGAATGTGTGTGTGTGTGTGTGCTTCGTGAAGCTATTTTGCACTCTGGACTTATTATTTAATCTAATAATTTTCTACCTCCAAGTATCGAAAAGCAGTTATGGTAATCGCAGTATTATTCTCCTTCCTTTTTTGGATGATTGACATTTTATTGATTTGCCAATAAGGAAACTATGGAGCTGTCGTCTCCGTTCGAAGGGTCGTTCTGCCTTAACTATATCATCTTATTTTAATTTTCCAAAAGTTTGGAGATTGCAAATCGTGAATGAGATCAACTTTTGGTAGATTTTATATGAGCGAGTGCAGGTAGGTTAATTTACTGAATGCCAATGCAAGCCTATTTACTTCGTATGTTGGGTTTGAAGTGGTATTGCTGGCGTCACTGAACTTTCTACCTTTCTATTTTCTGTGTCGGCTTCCGAGTTGTTGGACATGCGTGATCTTGTCAGTCAGTCAGTCAGTCATCGAATTTATGCCCACTGTTTTCTGCACACAATTCAATCTTTTTCTTTTCGGTTCTTTTTCTCCACTCCGTGTCCGTAAATCAGTTGCCATCCTATCTATCTCTCCCATTGACACCGAATATGAAGAGTGTTTAGGTGTATAATATTTATTTATTTATTTATATTAAATGGCAGACGTTTTGATAGTTATTATTAGCCCTTTAGTTGACTTCAGGCTTCATATGGAGGAAAGAACACCAAAGTGAAAAAGTCGAGAGAGTGGGGGGGGGGCACAGATGAGTGATTCAATGATGTAAGAGACAGAAGCAAAAACAGAAAAAAAAGGTAAGATGAGTACTGTGGAAGCGGTCGAATACGATATACAGTGAGGTGATGGTAGTTTGGAGTGAGAAGTCAACTGCCGGTCAATAGACTTTTTTGCCGTATGAGTATACGTTGCTCAGGGTGCACCACGTGGAGCTAAGTCCATCGCACTGATCTGGTCAAAGTCGTGTTGTGTTGTAACGTATGCGGGTACACGTAGCCATGCTCAGTTAAGGCTAATATATTCCTCCCCTTCTCCTCACCCTCCCTCCCCCCTCCTATTCTCCTTTTTTACTTACCTTTCCATTCGCCCTCTCGCCTAAGCTCTACCTGGTTAACCCCCAATGCTGCCTGCCTCTTCTCCTATCTGTTGACACAAAAAAGACAAAGAAGTGAGCAGGCTGAAAAACTCCGCTTTCGAAGTCATGATGCTGATTTTTACCCAATTGCCATTTTACATGTAAGCAATTAGAAGGCTGTAATGTGTATATATGTATGTATCTTAAAAGAAATTGTCTTCTAAGGTGTGTCTAAATGTTGTTCAAAAATCGTTATCTAAGCACTGGTCTTTTTCTGTTTCGCAATTCTGTCTGTTTATCTTTTATCATATCTCCAGTTGTCAGATAAGGGTTAGCTAGTATGTATATTTGTTCTCATGAGTTTCAAATATCCTAGGGCTTTTAAGGTTTCATTTTCTGCTAACCCGCCGAGATTAAGTTGGGGGTTTTTACCCTAAATTGCCAACGTTACATATTCAAATGGGTAATGTGTCGAAGTGCCCAATGTGTACGTCTATCAAGCCAGAGGTCATGAGAGGGATGTTCGCTGGTGCACACCCATTAAAGTCGATAGCCAAACGGCCTGGTCAATTCCAGTTTCTGGAAACATCATTTAAAGGTGATTCGCGTAAGGGTAGTTCTAAAATATTTTCGCTTTCTCCAAGTCATGTATTGTGAATGTTTACCTTAATGGGGTTGAAAGGCCATTGAAGGAAGGTGTTTTCTGGTGCCTATCATGTACAGAGTTTAAAGAAGCCGTCTCCACGAGAAACACGCTTTTTATTACCTCTTGTTTCATTGTCATTGACCCCCTTTGTCTAGGTATCGAACCTAGGACCTCTAAACTTCTGTTTTATAGTCACACACATGCACACACACTTGAATTGGCCATATGCAAGTATTATTATGATCAGAGAACTTCCACTTAAATCGCACAAGACTATGTCGTAATGGCATGGTGTCTTAGTTTCCTCATATCTGCCAAAATTGAGTTGTCTCAACTTTTGATGTCTCCTTCTTATCGATACACTCACCAGGTTGAACGAAGTTGTATACTTTAAGACAACTTAGCAGCGGGTTTTTCGTAGCCACTTAAGAAGGGGAAGTTTTCTCCAGTTAATACTATAGTTGCATCATTGTATTCAGGTGAACCTTAAATCCGATGCAATTAGGTGTTGTGAAAGTACATTTTCAGAGGGGATTCAGTGATCTTCATGCTTCACAAGGCTCTTTTAAAGACCTTATGACTATTTTGCCTCTGGCATCTCACTAGATCTACAAAATTGTTTTGAATCGACCACCCATCAGTTAGTGATATTCAGTCAGCGTTTGGTTTGCCCAAGGTAACTCCATCTACAACTAATTTGAAATAGCCTAGTACATCCAGAACTACTGCAAATAAATTCCTTCATTAGGATCTTCCTATTTTTCCATAAATCCCTTGATACCTGGTTCTTCCGACATTATAGAAAGAATTGTATTCTTCTCATTTGCCTTCCATGTACCAGTCATAACAAAAATAGGCCTTGTGGCCTACCATTAAAGATGCTATTGGTACGAGTTTCGGGCTAGGGTGATTCTGGGTTTCCTTCTCCCTACCCGAATTAAGTACTATCAATCCTCCTTCAGATGAGCTCCAGAGGCTTGAGTCTTTCTAATCATAATTTTGAATTCTGTATTTATCTGATCTTACAATATTCAAATTAACTTTTCTGACATTCATAGTTTTTATGGCATTCGTGCCTCAAGGTCGCACTGTCTGTTACTTTGAGTTATCATGTTGGATAATTTCCCATTTGTGTCTAGCCCGCTCGAGATTGTGGCTTGTCCAACAAAAGGGTTCTTTTGTCTAGCCACATATAGGCAGCCATCCAGAGCCATCGGATAACGAAGCTGTGACGAGAATGGTGGAGTAGGCTGTCGTCTGTCTGTGTCCACTTGTGTGTGTGTGTGTGTTGTTGCCACACATTTAACTGTCGCGCTCTTGCACACGTGACTGGCCTGCTTTCATGCACCCACCCACCACTCGTATTTCATACACACACACACACATCAGTCGTCTGACTTCTTGGCTCGTCGTCCATTTTCACGCGTGCAGCGCACAATTTTTGGTCAGTGCTGGAGAGGGGAGCTTAGTCACACCGTCACACACAGTGCACACAGACACGCACAGATGGAAATTGATGTGTGTGTGTGTGTGTATTCGATCCTCTTTTCATCATATTTACTGGGCTGTTTTGATTTTTTTCTCTCTCCTCCTTAGCAAGATGGAAAGTGCCTTGTTTTTGGACATGAGAGAAGAAAAGCGTAATAAACTACACGGATTGGAGGAGGGGGGTGGGGGGGGTGAAGATAAACTCCTCCTAAGGAATAATTGTTTCCAACTGATTGGCCTCTCTGCGAAACTAGGTAGAGTAACAGTCGTGAAATTTGCATATACATGCTCAAATTGCGCTTTTCTTAGTTAATATATCGTCTGTATTGTGTGTGTGTGTGTGTGAGAGTTAAAGAATGGATAAAGAATAAGCAATAAATTTGGCTGACGGGATTTTCACCCACTTCGTTCCAAATTGAAGACCCCCTAGCATTTAATATCAGCTTGAGTTTCCAAGTTAATATGCATTTTAGCTGATTAAGTTAGCGATTTGCAGTTATTGGTGTCTGAAGGTGTTCTTGAAATCTCGGAGTAAAAGGCAATCCTCAATTATTTCATTATGGGATGAAGGGGAATTATCGATAAGTCTACAATGAAATGAAATGAGTGATGAGAATGATTTCCAGCAATCCCTGTTCACTTTTCTTCCAAATCATACAGTCATTGTCAGACATGCGTCTCTACTTGCTCAGTATGGCTTTGAAACGACTGATTCAAATTTGTGATCACCTATTATCATTAGCAAGTGATTCTTAAACCTAGTCAACTTTGTTTCACTCATAAGTGTGGGTGGGTGGGTTCGAGGAGGGGGGGGGGGGGGGGGGGTGGAGCTGTCAATTTTTGTAATGCCAAGGCTATTCAATTATCTGATTCTCGGTTATTTTCAACTTGTTCTCTGTCGCCGAGTATTAAAATATCCTCACCACGCATACATAATCACCGCCTTGCAGAATTTTGAGTAAATCAATTAACTTTGCTTCATCCTGTGTCGTATTGTTGATTCCTGGCTTTTGTGGGCTTCTTTAGGACTTACTTGGATTATGACAGGTTCGTGTATATTTGCATTTTCAGTGTTTTGTTCCTACCCCCCACCCCCACCCTCCCAACTCATCTGCCAAAGTGATTTAAGGTTCGCCCGCTTGTCACTCCTTTAACAGCGCATCCTACACGATGCACTCCAGTGTATGTATGTATGTAAATATTTCTCTTGGTTGTGACGTAAAGGGACTTAAATGGTAGCATATTTTTGCGTGCACACACGTGCACAGTTTCTGCTACTACAGAGAGTCTACGGTTCCGTAGCAAAAATCATTTGCGCGCTTGTGTGTATATGTATGTATATGCACGTCCGTCCTCTCTCTCTCGTGTGTGCCTTGACCTCCTCGGGTCACACGTTTCTCTGTGCTGTGGTGTGGTGCGTGTGTCGCTATGGTGTCGCAATTCCATTGCGTTCGTGCGGATTCACACGTCCGTAAGGCTTGCATGTGTGTGTGTGTGTGTTCTACTTCGCTTCTCGTCATCCTTAAAATAAAATACACACAAATACACATTGCTATAGCTCACGTCGACTGAACTTTTATCGATTGGAGTGTTCTCTTTATTATGGAGCTTGCTTTAAAAATCTTGCGCATTTTTCATGAAGACAAGTAGCTCACCGAACTGAGGTAGGAACTGTACATCTTTCAAAATATACTATCTTGGAAGCAGAGGAGAATAGATTTCAGAAGGCATTCTCTTCTACGCGGGTAAATTTGGCTGGTCTTCTTCTGTTCAGTTCTTTTTTTATTTGACCAGCGTTGTTTGTTCGCCTATTCGCAGATGAGTGGGGTTTCACTTCATTGAAGCTCACTTGTAAATCTCCAGAGTGAAAAAGTGCTGTATGCCTTTTTGGAAGGTACAAGGGAAACCCCGATCTAAAGTCATGTCGTATTTTGAATGTTGGTATACGCTTTAAAGCACACGCGCTCATTCTCTTATCGCAGCATTAATTGCTTTAATCTGCCTTTTTTTCTCTCATATTGTCATTTATTTCCTTTTATTTTGGTTGAAAGATAAGATGCCCAACGTGAAGGTGCGCAGTTGTGTAGATGGTGATGAGAGGGAGGAATGGGAGATTGCCATTCCAAAAGGTAAATGATGCCCGTGATGATATTGCGCGACACTCATTTCGGTCGGATCATAGTTTTAGGACAATTGAGGCAAACACTAAAATGGATTTGTCCTGTACTGTGTTCCGTTGTAGAGGATGATGTAGTAACATGTTTTCGCTACACTGTTTCGAAACTGTCATCTACTAAGAATAGATAGCTTTAATAATGCCTTCTATTTTCATGTTCTAGTAAATTGACGAGAGAGTGTGAACTTTTCAAAGATATGAAGTCGCCTCTTCGGTAATCAAAATTTCTTTTTTAGGCATTGATTGGATTGGTAATAAACAAAAGACAAAGAAAAGGTGAATGCTGACCTACTCACTTTCTTCATTGTACCCTTTTGTGTCTAATAGGACTCAAATGCATTTGAATTTTACTCATTTTGCTGCAAATCGTTCTTCTCAGTTAGAGCAATTTGCCTCTTATTTTTTCCTTAAAGTTCCTCAATCCAGTGGAATGATCGATTACAGTTGTCCGCTATACTACAAATTTCAGCCCCCTTCACCCCCATGAAATTTCATCGTTCTCTCTTGTTTTAGACGTACAACTAACACAACCAAGCGTGCGCTACGTACAGCAGGTCCAAGGTGAGCTCTGCCACTTTATTCTTCGTTCCGCACGACGAAAATTTCGAAGGGGTGGTCATATCCCACACTTTCCGGATTACCTAAACTTTATAAGCCTAGCCACTCCTGCAATGCTAGCGACAATCGCAGCCTCTGAGCGTCTCAGCCTACTTTTAAGTCGACTCACCGAGGTGAAACACGTAGCCTTTCAGCTAGAGAGCTTTCTGGTTGGACGTTACTATGCCTTCTGCATTCCAAATGAAAGTCTTCTCACCGAGATGCTCCTCACAAAACGCGGGGCCCGGAATCGTGTCCCCTCGATGCCACAGCAACCTCCTTCTGCGCCTCCTGCTCCCATTGGAGGCTTTGAATATAACTATTCTACTCCACCTCCTAATCAGACTGTACCCATAAAACGCGATCCGAATGTATATACGTCCTCTGTGACTACTTCCGATTGGCGACCTCAAAGTGCTAGTGGTAGCGGCGGTGGTGGTGGTAGTGATGGTTACCAGGCTGGTGCCCCTGCACAATACTACCCCTGCTCTACATCCCACCCAACCGCAGCTCCACCCTCCTCCGCCGACTTCTCCAATTCACAGGCTCCACCTCAGCCGCCAAACCAAGCCCAAGACCAAAGCTTTTTTATACCGCCCCAAAATGTGGTTACCTCACAATCCACAACGCAACAACAACAACAACAACAATAACAACAGCAGCAGCATTGTTTTTTGTAGATTTCGCCTTCTTGCTCCCTCGCTCCCCTCACTCCTTTCTTCTATTCTCCCTGCGTGCCAGCTTCCTTGATCTGTCTCAGGAATATTTAATCAACCCCCTATCTCCTTGAAAAAATCACCCTAAAACACCGCTGTGTGGGGCATTTATTTTCTAGCTCTCCTCCCCCCCCCCCCCCCCCCCCCCCCCCCCCCTCCCTCCCTCCCTCCCTCATCCCTTTGTGTAAACAAATGCTGAAGCGTATGAACAGTCTTCCTACCTCCTTAACAAACTCGATCTTCGCTATTTTGTCTCCACCCTGAAAACTTTTCTGTGAGTGTGTATTCTATCCTTGTGGCCAAGTTTTCTTGACTCTTGCCTCTGAATTTCCGGCTCCCAACTATTTCTCTCTCTCTCTCTCTGCTTTCTTAATGCTACTACTACTACTACTACTAATACAAATGACGATAGGTTTAATAATGTGTCCAAATTTGAAATTGGTGATAAAATGGCTAAAAAGATAATAAAATCTGTAATATTTTTACAAATAGTGGAATTGCTTCGTTTTGTTTTTTTGCTATTTACGTTCGATTGGGGCTGCCTCTAGTGTCTAATTGTGTCCTGCTTTGTGCGTTAGTTGTTTGCTTTGAGGTTCAAAGGTCAATAATGATTCTGATTAATAAAGTAAACTCTGAGAAAATGCATTATTTTGAGTTTTGGGAATCTATTCCTAGTATAGTAGTGCAAATTCGTAACAAAACGTATTATATTAAAGTTGCCCCCTTATGCTGCACTTGAGTACGCTGTGCGTGTATCGATTTCCGATTAATTGATTTCCACTAGACATTCACGGCTCATTCTAGTTCATTTCTGTCTCCGTTTTTTTCCACTTCATTAATATTGTTTAAATCAGCATAGTTAGGATAAAATTCACTTGTCTACGCTAATTTATTGTTTCCTTTTTGTATGAACCGTTTGGCTGGAATGTAGGGCGAACCAGAGGGTGAGGGACTGAAATCCAAGCTCTTTAAGCTGATTCGAAAAGGGCGTCTGGAGCGATTACAAAGACTGGTGAACCAATCAATCGCTTCTGAAGATGATTTTTCATCAATTTCGAGCAGCACTGCCACCATTTACCTTCTCGCTTCGATGGCGGATTCGCGTGAGAGGCGTCTCCTTCATGTGGCCTGTGAACATGGACATTTGAAGGTGGTCAGGTAGGCTGAGATTGTTTCGGGTTCTTTTTTTCAAATTGATTTATAATAACCTGTATATATTTCAAATGCAGACTATAATATTTATCATTAGCCCCTTAGTTGACTTCGGCTTTCACAATGGGGGGGGGGGAGGGACATATATTTAAGCTTTGGGACAGTTAACAGTAGTTCATTAGTTGACTTCTGGCTTCCTAGTATCTCTGGGTTTCTGTCGTTGTCTTTGGGGCTGGACACCGAATCAAGTGGGTCTTCTCCATTTCCTTCCGTAGGTCACATAGAGGCATGTTGATTGGGCGTATATGCGCATTTTGTGTAGGTGCTTAACCAGGCAATTGTTTCCGATGCACAGTATAAACTCTGCGACAGCTTTGATTCTTGGCCAGTCGGCAATGTTGAAGAGTGCCACTGTCCACTACTTCTCCTTTGTTTAAGCTTTAAGTTCGATGCTTCTTGAAGTCTTGAATTCTGTCCTGATCAAGGTCTTTATTGTGTGGAATGACATCGGCCGGTCTATGCCTTGCAAAATCGTGGTTTGTCAGCGCCCTCATTGCCTATAATGTCAAAGTGTCCGGGGATCCTTTGAAGAACTACGGTTTTGCTTTTTTCTCTCTCAGTAACTGATACGTTCTTTTACATAAGCTTATATCGGCTGTTTTGGGTGGTTCTCTGTTTCTAATTGAATTTATTTCTGACTTCGAGTCCGAAAGAATTACTGCTTCGGTGAATTTTGTATCCATGCACCACAGCTGGCCCAGTGCTATCTTAATGGCCTCTATTTCTCTTTCGAATGCGGATCTATTGTGTCCCTCTGCTGTGAAGAAAGAGAGTAGTTCAGAGTAAACACCTACACCAGGGTTTGCTTGGTTCATAGTCGTGGAAATTCAGAGTAAATTTGCATAATTTGAGGTTTGTTACTTCACGGGTTTCACCCAACTCTTTTATCCCTGTTGAATTTTTTTTATATCCCGTAATTTATTTTGTATTTTTTTAATTAAAATTCTTTATTTTCAGCAAGTAGCTACTTTTGCTGTCGTCAGTATTCCTTTTAACCTCTGCTTTGAAGCACACGTGAAAGGTTGATTGGAATTTTTCGGCCATAATAAGTTTGTTCTACCGAAGACTTGCTACTTGCCCCTAACATAACCTATACAAGGATCCTTGACATATTTTGAAGTGTTCATTTTACCTTTATTGGCATGGTCTCACGAAATCATTTTCTTCAGTTCTTGTTTAATTCCTTCTAGCCATGGCATTGTCGGAGCCTTCTTTATTAACTTTTTTTATAGCAGCAAAATGGGGTGTGCGATAGACTTGCCTCCACGTGGTGCACTCTGGGCAACGTATACTCATACGGCAAAAAAGTCTATTAACTGGCAGTTGACTTCTGATTTCAAACTACCGAGACCCCACCGCATTTCATATTCTACTAATTAAACAGTACTCACCTTTTTTCTACCTTTGTGTCTGTCTGTCTCTTTTACGTCTGTGAATCATTATTCTGTCCCCCCTCTCGACTTTTTGCCACTTTGGTGTTCCTCTTTCTTTCTGTGAAGCTCGAAGTCAACTAAAGGGCTAATGATACCTATCATAACGCCTGCCATTTGAAATAAATAGAAGGGGAAAGTCCCTTTTGATGTAGCCTGGTGGCGGAAGTTTACCAGAGCAATGCGCTGTTGAAAGGCCTTCATAAGTCAAGACCTTTGGTATTACCCTTCGCATTGTTCAAGAGGGCATTAATTCTACTTTTATCTTTAGCACTATTTGAGGAAGTGCATAACTGAGGACGGACTCTAAGAATAGCTATAATCATCTGATTCTTAG